TTTAGGGTTTAGGGGGCTTAGTAGCAGTTCTACTATCAGGGTCCTTGCAAGAAGGCTCAAAAACACAGTGCCAAAGCAGCCTGCCTCACTCTGCACCATGTCATCTATAATGGAGTTCAGCATCTGGTGCTTTCCAGACTTGGTGCAGACACTTGCTTTGGGAGGCATGAGACTTTTTTCTGAAATCAAAGAAAAGCCACAGGCCTTCATGCAGGCCTTCATGCTGCTGTGATTGTGTCCGAGGGGCTCGGATTGCCAGCTGGGTCAAACCGGAGTACAAGTCCGAAGCCCGCTGCCTTGCAAGCTGTGTCCAATGCAGGCTTCTGAAACCATGGTCAAGCAAAAAAGGCATGGTCATGTGAGAGTTGAAAATTTGTGGTCTCTGAGGGCTCACCCGGACTCAGCTGCTACCTCTGACATCGTCTGACCCCTGGCATGGCGTGCGCGACTGCCGTCAAACGCACAGAAGCAGGTGCACAAAAAAGAATCAGAAACCCCTCGTCACCGGCCGGGCGCACGAATTGCGAAGGAGGTGGCGCAGCTCGGCGTAGAGCCCAAGAATCCTTTAGCTCAGCTCAGCTCCCCATCCAAGATGACATCCTCAGATCAGCTGAGGCAGGCGCCTGCTGGGAGGTCGCGGAGCACTGCTCTGTTCTTGCAGGCACTGCATCACCTTAAGGGCATTGCAAGCAGCTTCGAGCAGCTGATGCACTGGTATTCGATAGGTTTTGATATCAAAAAGTTGAAGCTTTGCAGTCGTAATGACATTTGCCTCGAAACACACCTTCCCCAAGCAACACCATGCAACACCATCTCAAGCCTCCCGAAGAACGTCCGCAGGCCTGGGCAGATGCTGTAGGGGAAGTCTACTAATACCAGCTTGGCATACACGAGTATGCTTCTTCCTTCTCCCTTCCAACTTCAGGCTTTGAACCATGAGAAGTCGATTCCTGCTGGCGCAGAAGTACTACAGGGGACTACATAATCATTATAGTTGTACAAGGAATATGGAACCATATTTAGGCCCTTTATGACTTGCAAGCAGAGTGGACCTTCGCTTCAGGGTGCCGCAAAGGAACAACCGCCAATTCAGCGCTGAAATGCATGTTTAGCGGACGGCTGCATGCCAGGCATGCTAGGCTGGTGCACAAGGTCTTAAAGCCGGGTTCTGGCAACAATATGGCAGACAACCCGATGAGGATGATGATGATGATGAAAATGAAAGTATATTCATAGGTAACACGTGGTAAGCTGATCCCATGAGCCCTGAAATCTGAAAAGCATGGCGCTTGAAGACGATCGATATAGAGCATGGTGAGTGAGGTGATAGGTGGTACCTCGATGACAACAACGGTCGCCGTGTTGGCAGTGTCTTCGACAATGGCGATGATGGCAAGGCTGACGCAGTAGCATTTACTGACGCAATAGCATTTACCCTCCCTATCCGCTTCAAGAACTTATGCTTCGGCCACTCAACTTCAGCTTGCACCACCATCTCTCACCAAGGCAAAACTAAACGAAGCCTAGATTGCACTAGCTGTTGCGACATGGATTTTTGGACAGAACGGGTGTTCATGAATCAGTTACCTTCATGACACCCGAAACCCAGAACCCAAAACCCAAGCCTGGGAAGCTCAACATCTTGGAGCCGGGCTCAGTGGGCAGACGGTGCTTCCCCTGTTCGCAGCGCCTCAGCTCCGCCAGGCTTCGCATGCTCCGCAGATCTTCAAGTCATCTGAGCCAAAGTGGAAGGTCTCTGGAAACTTGGCCCAAAGTGTTCAAAATGCAGAGCTGTCTTGTGTGAGTAAGCACTTGAAACTCTGAGATACCTCAAAATTGCTAGAAGCTCTGAAGCTTAAATCATCCTAGTCCACACATGCCTGGCACCATGGAGGAGGGGAGTGCGGCACCAAGAATCCCACTTCGGCTGCGGAGCAGGCTTCGGCACATCGCAGGCCTGCAGCGGCACGCAAGCTAACCCAGACTCCTCCAACTTCGCAAACTCGTACGACTGCCCACATCTGCTTGCAGTGTGCCTTCTGGAAAGCAGTCTTTGCGCCTGCAGCACTGAACAGTCGCAACAGATTGCAACGGCAATGTCAGCACGCTTAGCCATTGGCTCGGTGAAGGTGAGAAACGGCGAACGGCAAAAGCACAGACGAGCGTCACCACCTGGCCAGGCGCTGAGCGTGCTGACAGAAGGCTGAGCCGTAAGGCTGTAAGGCGGTCGGAGGCACGAAAATGATGATCTCCAGGCCAATCGACCTCAAAGCACCAAGAAATGATCTTATGCACTGAAAAGCACATCAATCTTAGTTGAAAGTCTCATGTGTACCAGGCCCACTGGGTGCCGCGCCTCCAGACTTCATGGAAAAGCTGCGTCTGCTGCGAAACGAACGATGTTGTCATAACCTCAGGCCCGGAGTGACAGCACTTCACACATCCGCTCGGAAAGGTCAAGCTCCCTGCTGCAGAGGAATTGGCCAACAGGAGGCTGATGGCAGCCTGCAGGCTTTTTGGGCTCCCGCGACAAGAAACTAAACTTTATCATGTCCGGCCTCACGGCCTGTAGAAGGTTAGTAGAACGCAAAGGCGTCAGGGGCGAAGCGTGATAGGACTCGTGAGTTAGACTTTAGAGCTGCGGGCAGTTACAGAGTTTTCCCAATAGGCCACCCTCTTGCAAAGCCATGCCATGTGCAATATACGGCACTCCGCTCCATTTTGGATGAACAGCACATGGCTCTTGCCCAGGCCTACAGCGCTTGTAGCTGCTACGCGCATGATTAAATTCTACTCAGGTGAAACTTAGGTGGTGCGCGGAAAACATGACAGCTGGGGCAAGCCCGGCGTCACGGCACAACCACCCGAGACCTTTGCAAGAACTGCGGGTGTAAGAAGACCTCAGGGAAGCTTCGCAAAACCAGCCATTCTGGTCAGATCTTTCTGAGAATCTGGCCGCATCCGCCACCGATAACGGTTCTTGCGATGCGGGTACTTCTTTGAACTCCTCCGCAGCTTCTGCAACTGAAGTTACTTCGAGCATGGAACAGATACAAGATACAAGCAATCCATGAGGACTCATGTGCTCAGCAGACCCTCCTTGCCGCCAGAATCATATCTCAGGCACTGTACAACCATCCGCTCTTCCAGCGACCTGTCGAGCAGTTGAGGACGAGTCAAGACATATCAAGGCGGGCCCTGAAGGGTTCTGAGGGTTCCAAGCGTACCGTGCAGAGGCGGGGATCGAAGCGAGCAGGCAAGACGCTGGTGACGGCAGGATCTGTAGAACGCGAGACCAGCAGCCCTGAGCCACTCAGGTGGCACAGGAAAGCGGGATCTCTGAGCCAGGATCACATGATCCCCTGAGCCTCTGCAAATCCATACAGGGCTCGGAGGTCGTGCCGTCCTTGGGTGCTCACCGCTGGCGTTTGCTGCCATGCCTACAGATGCCACGAGCACCGGACCAGTATGAATACTCCGGAAGAGGATGATGAATCGATCAAACCTGTACAGGCAGACAAGGCATCTTCAAAGCTCATTGCATTTACCAGCTTTCCAGGCCTCTCCAAGTCCTGATCAAAGGATCTCAGCACTTGCTCACGCTGTTCTCGATTGGCTTCGCCCTGGCCAGAGTCCAGAGCGCACATAAAGTCATAGCAGAGCCAAGGATTCGGGCCTTCAAGCAGTACTTCTCCAGCGCGTTCCGCACCAGCTTACGGTTGGGCTGGAGGCCAGCCGCGGACCGTCCTGGCAAACCCCTTCCCAAAGCTGCCTGATCTGCCTGACAGCCTCCGGGCCCTCTGGGCCGGGCCTGCCGAGGAGCTGCGTCTCGCGGCATCGGCCTCCCAGCAGATTTGCAGCTTGCAGCAGCTTCTGTCTCTCTGAGCTCTGAAAAAGCTGGTCAACGGCGCAGGCTCAGTCAGCCACCTTGGGCAAGCTGGGTCTTCGCCTGATCTGCACACTTATGGGCGTTGCTTCGATGACAGAACAAGAAAAGAGCCGGGCCCAAGAGAAGGCACGCGTCGTCGGGGAGCGGGCCTTGGACAAGAACCGTTCGCCTATTGCATGAGGTGTCAGGGGGTTTTCGTCTCGGATCTGCACTGTTCAGACTCCATGCTTCCAGCCGCGGATCCTGGCGTGGCCTTAGCCATGTTGGTGCTGGCACATGAAATTGCCACCACGTCCCTGCTCCAGAAGTCCAAGCGCTGCACGGGCTGCCTGGGGGGCCTGCCCTGCCGCGGCACCATGGGTGCTGGTGCACCTGAAGGAGGCAGAGGATAACGCAGCACCCTAGTAGTACAGTAGTACACTGGTACGACTATAGCATTTGCCTTTAGTACTTCATAGTAATTCTCAGGCTCGTATCCCCACCTTGCAGGCCCAAGGAGCCCGGGACCGGGCTCAGCCTATGCTGCTCGCTCCGCGGCTCGCTGCCTGCAGAACGAAGGACATCCCTTCCACCATATTCCACCAACCCACGGAGCATGCTGCCCAAAACCCAAAACAGGCGCCTTCGCGTTGAGAGGAGCGTGCTGACAGCGGCTCGCGGTGAGCATTCACCTGCGCGGCGGATGCCCCATCCCTAATCCCTAGGCACTCGGCACGGCCATGTAGGAAAACATCTTCAGCCTTGGCTCGTGGGGACTCCACGACCACCTCCACACCGCCACGCCGCTTCAGGCCTGTGAGCCAAACCCCCAATCCGAAGCCCCGAATGACTTTGAAAAGGCTCGGAACCGCACCCACGACAGCCTCGTCCTGTATGCTACAAGGCCCGCATGATGCTGACGTGCAACCTCGTGCAATATGAAACGCACGCCTCCGCGGTGAAGACAGCTGCGGGAGGATCCGCACATGCTGGAATCTCAACAGGATCTGGCACCTAAGTTCCGCTCTCGGCTTTTTGCTCACTCTTCAGCTCTAGTTCACTTCCACCAAATGAAGGGCGCTATGCAAGACGCATAACCAAGCGCAGCAAAATGGAACCTAGAAATCTAAGATGCGCCAAATGCGGCAAGGTGCTCCCTTCGGCAGCGTCTGGTAGCCACTGGTAGCTGGAGTTGTAACTGCAGAGTGCGCAGGGCTGCTTGCTGCGTCCTGGTTGAGGGCTCAACCCGGCAGAGAGCCTCCTAAATCTCGTACAGACTTCCCCTTTTAGAACAGAATTGCTAGTGTAGATTCCTGATTCTTGGTGGGAGGACAAATTGCTGAGGTCCTGCATGGTGACCGGTCTGATTTCCTCGGCACCTGCATGCGCGAGGGCGCGTCGTCTACTGATAGGGATCCCAGACTTGTAAATTCGGACAACTAGCTGGAAGGGCAGCACCCCGGAAGAAAAGCAGGCGAACCACACCCGCTTGCAAACTTGTGTGCAGCCGAGCCTGCAGAGGCTCGCTGGCTGACCTCACTCTGGTGCATGGGGACGGGCTCCTGCACCTGGTAATTGACTGTTGCGCAGCGCAACATCAGATACCAGCAGCTAGCGAGCAGGCCGCGGAATAAATACCGCATGCATGCACGACAGATATGACTAGAAGATAGTAGAAGCCTCCCAGGCGATGCTTGCATCCGGCTTCTCCTCCAGCGGCGGAGGGCCTGATAAAACGATCCGCTGCAGGTGGATGCTTCGCTTTTCACATGACCGGCCTTGTCCCTCTGGCACCAGCTCGGTGAGATGGGAACTTTGCCTCAGAAGTTCAGAAGTGCGGTGGAAGAAGGCAGGCTCCTCACATTGAAGGCCCCCATGGACCCCGGCGACATCTTGAAGGACTGTGTGGCTGCGGCGGCTTCAAGCACTTCTCGCTCGGCATCCAGCTCAGCGCAGTCAGCTTCGGCCTGAAAGGGCAAGGAAGTCCTTACATTCACAAAAGGATACCGTAAAACAAGGATGGACAAGGCAAGCCTCGCTGGCCGAAGGCTGCGTGCCCACAGGGCCTTGGAACCCCCTCTTCTGGCTCATGCAGCAGGACTCGCATAACAGACCTTATCGCCTCCTGGCAGGGCGCAGGAAGCTGCCTCATGGTCCTCGCCTGGCATCAGCAACCCTTCACAAACATGACTGGTACTTGTACAACCAGCGCAAGACTCAAGAGCCAGGAAGGTGCCTGCAACAGCTTCTGTCCCAGTGCAACTTTTGCTGCATGCTGTCTCGCCTATGCCAGGCAGGATGTTCGCGACAAGCCAAGTGTAAGCCACGTTCTGCATCACGCGCTCCTTGGCCTGGTACTTCAACCTTGCCGCTGTCGCCATCCGACGGGATGTGCACATCTGCCAACAAGCAATGGCTGCTTAGGGAGGGGGGGGGGGCATAAGCCTGTGCTTCTGCAGTGACACACGAGAGGCCTGGTGCCAAAGCCTCTGTTTGGCACAACACCTTTGCTAAGAGGCTCACTCGCTTAAAAGGTGGCCAACGCAAGACGCAAGCAAACCATCAGGATCCTTCGGGCAGTTACCCAAACATCCATCATCCGCACGTATCCGCACGTTCCACACGCAAGAGCTTCAGCCACGCGGCATCCTCTCGGCGAATGGTCTTCAGCTCCATGGCCTCGTCCAAGGCCTCGGAGTCGAAGCCTCTCGGGTTCAGCCACGCTTTAGCTGCTTGCTCTACTTGCTTCCGCTTTAGCTGCTTTAGCCGCTTTAGGGTTCCGTGCTCCCACTCTGCTCTGCTTTAGCACATCATCGTTTCACCTCAAACGCACTTTTTTCATGCACAGCTCGCAGCTCTAGAGGCAGGGAACAGTCCCTCTGACACGTCTGTAGCACGCCAAACATGACTTCTTGAGAAGCGAAGCACTGAGTTCACGTGATTCGTGCGAAGATTGCTGGCATCTCGTCTTGCGGCGCAACCATGAAGCCAGCATCACCATCGTGATACGTTTTCCAGGACGCATGGTCGTCCGTCATCTGCTGCAAGCCAAGCAAGGCTGCACATCTGCGAGAGCTGGCTGGCCCTCTCATCAGAGAAAGCACAGCATCCTCCTTGAAGAAATCCTTTGAACCAGCAACCAAATGCAACCGAACGCAGTGCAAACAGCTCATTCGCGCCAGCAGGTCGCCACTTCTACCTCGGTCATGCGGCACCGGTATCCCTCTTTGTGAAGATCGAGGACCTTAGCCCACACAGCTGAAAGGCCGGCTGCAGCACGAAAGAAGCCGGACTTTTGGAGCCGGGAGGCGTGTGCGTCCAGAGTCTCCCAATCCGATAACATGTTTTTCTCAAACTGCACCTGTTTCCAGGGACGCAGCTTCTAAAAAGAATCACAAGCTTCATGAGCAGTCTTGCAGCCTCATTTCTGCACGATTACTACAGTTGCCGGTGCTGTTCTTTATATATCACAACTATACATACATATATATACACACACACATAAACTCACATTCCTACCGCTATTCCCTCCATAGAACTCCCGCGCCTGCCAGGGCCAAAGGCCTCGCAATCGGCCCAGGCGGACCACCTGGCGCAGGATCTCCGCATCGAAGCCCTCCGCATCCTGGGGCCAGGGTTCTGGCTTAAGGAGGGGTTTAGGGTTCAGGGTTTAGGGTTTAGGATTCAGGGTTTAGGGTTTGGGATTCAAGGTTTAAGATTTAAGATTTAGCGTTTAGGGATGCTGCGAGTAAGTAGGGCTTGTAACTCGGATACTGGGGAACAACCCTGATCTTATAAGGGGATTCCACATATGCTGAGCCATGAACACGGCAGCATGGAAGATTAAGACTGCAAGCTGACATGCTAGCTGGCTCTCCAAGCATCAATCTTCAAAATGTCCAACGAACCTGGGATGGGGTGGCACCACACGCTCTTGAGACAGATCAGCAAGCAAAATCATTTCCAGCCACGCATAGACTTCTTAGCCGGGGAGCCAATGCCGTAAATGGTCAGCAGGGTCTCGTAAGTCGTGCAGGGAACCTGGACCTTTCCCATCACCTTCATGGCCGCATCGCCCAGCAGCTGGCGCACACCCTCCGGAATCTTGAGAGATGAAGTGCCCCGGACCCATCCTGGGAGACATTCCCTTAGGCCTGCTTCTTCAAGCCGCGACGCATCACACAGGTTCTCCGATCCCCGGTGGGCTCCAACCAGCTCCGGCCGCACGAAGTAAAGGGTAGCAAAGCCGTCGTAGTCGCCCACAGCTACATTCAGCAAGAGCTTGCTGCTGCCTCCGTGGGAGGGCAGGTTGTCGAAGTATGCACGCAGCGGCTCAACCGAGATTCCCTGCACCTCAGACCGCCACACATGCCGAGATATTAACGTGTCAAAGTCAGCTGTCCCAATCTCCAGATAGTTCAGGTGCCGCTTCCGATATGCCCAGGGAGACCACTGTACCGATAGCGACGGTGAGGAGAGCTCCACCGGCACCACTGCCTGGGCGTTTTTCGAAACCACATAGTCTGGCAAAAGCTTTCGGTCCGCCCAAAGCGCAGCACGAACGTCCACAGATTGATATCCTGGCACTTCCACGATACGCTTCGTCTCATGATTGATCGCCCACATAGGCTCCCACTCAGGCTGCCTGCCAAAATTCAGGGTGTTCACATTCCCCAAGTGCTGGCACTCGTATGGTTTCCGCCAGCGAACCCAAATTTGCAGAGCCTTTGAAGGCAGCAACTGCCTGAGCCAAAAAAGGTGGGCCTCGTGAGGCGACACCTGGGAGCGTTCCAAGCTTGCAATGACAACTTTTAGGATTTCGGGTTCCTCTCAACTCTACTGACTTTCTGGGGTCAGACGGGGAACCGGAATTTCAGCAGAAAGTCCACCTTGCTGTTGGTCGCCAAGATTTGTGACCAGGGGTTCCCAGTAGCAATGACGGTCCTTCTATTCACCATGTAGGCAGCACCGCCAAGGAACGGAGCCACGGCATAGGGCCCAAAGGCAGGATCGTCGTGTGACAGCTGATCGTCCAGCCAAGAGTTCACAAACAGAGCCAGCAGTCCACCTTGGGAAAAGTCGGTCATATAGTCCTTCACAGCACGCATCAGGGTTGTCCTGCCCATGAGAATGTCGTCGTCACAGTGCAGGAAGAAGTCCAGGTCTTTTCTGCTTAAGAAGGTCTCAAATGCAACAGATAGCACTCGAACAGTGCCCAAATGTCGCGACATACGCGTGAAGTTCGTAATCTTCCCCCTTTGCCTCAGGTCCTCAATCATGGACTGCTTTTTCTTGCCATCTGCAGACTTGCCAGATGCATCATCAATCAAGTGCCACTCAACGATGACTTGTGGCAGCTCTTGCCTGGCATGCTCCACCGACTCTAGCAAAGATAAAGTGGAAAGGGCATGCCGCCAAAACCGGTCGCGAGTGATGACGCTAAGCATAACTTTAGTTTCTTTCTCATCTTCAGTCTGTACTGCTGCTGAAGACAACCACCACGGAGTGAACAGCGACAGCACCCTCTTCAGTGCAGGCATTCAGGCAGCTTACATGTCGACACTGAAAAACTGCAACTGTCGTAGAAAGTCGGTCAACGTTCCATGGCTTTCATTGCATGCGACGTTGGCTTGGTTCCGACGTGGACACCAAGTCCAACTTCAGCTCGGAGATGGAAGAATCTGCGGGGTGGCTGCGATGCGCCTTGCTTCCTCATCTGCTGGAAGCCACAAAACCAGAGCACAGGCACAAAGAGCTAGTCATTCGCCCTGGTGCAAGTTACGCCTTTCGCCTTTAAGCAGCACCCTTGCCTCCGTCTGGCAGGAGGCAGCTACCTAACCACAAGGAAGCACATGTACTTCTCCGAGGACTCTGTGCAATGCCATGTTAGTGCCACGTCTATTGCATGCCAGGAGGCGAAGCGTCTGCGTCATGTGAAGCGGCTTGCAGTAGCCCTCCTTTCAATGTTAGCTGTACAAATGATCCCTGGGCCATCTGAGGCCGTTTAACCAGGCATACCTGGCCAAGGATGCGGCCTGCTTGCCAATCCGAATCCCAGCCACGCTAAGCTGAATCAAACCTTCAGCTGTCCCACTCAAAAGCAGGCGTCCTCCGCCATCTGCCTCACACAGGCCATGCATTGAGCAAGACGTCATAAACAGCATCATGTCTAGCACAGCCCTAGACAGAGTGAGTACCACATCAAATGTCTAATCTGTTCAACTGCAAGCCCAAGGTTCACAAGGCAGCTGATTGATTTCAGGCGTGTTTGCAGGGAACTTCCCAAATTACGGGCCCCCTTTAGGGGGCGTGCTCTGATTTGCGGAGAACCCTACAGTGGGACCTAAATTTCGGGAAATGCCAGGCTACCTAGGGAAGCTTCTTGAGAATCTGCTTTGGGCTCCCGAACTACGAGCTAGAACGGCTGCTTCTTGGGACACCTCTGGTTTGTAAGATCATACAACATAGGAGCGTGTAAGAGGCCAGAACAAGTCGTAACAATGGCACACAAAATTGGAGCAATTCAGATGCGCATGGAGCCAAGTCCCTGGCCAGTCAGACTCGCCCACTGGAGCCCGACGAATTGTCCTACAAGAACAAGCCCAATGCTTCCAAAAATGTGACTTTGATCCATAGACCAAATGAGGCTAATGCTTTTGAGAAGCCTGTACTGGCAAGAGCTCCCTTCCATCACACCAGCAGCAGTGCAGACATGATTTGTCGCTGTCACAGCAGAGCAGAACGCGCGAGTCTTTCACTTTCAGGGTGGAGAGACCGTCTCACTCAGCACAGCGACCATGAACAGAATATGTCCTCCATCCTCACTGACACCCTCTCCACCTTGAAGCCTAAGCTAAAAGTATCAGATACGGCGTATCTTCTCCCATCGATCCCAGCCTCAGCAGTAGAGGAGATCACAGCTGCAAACCCTTCCACCGCAAATGCTGGGCCACTTGCTGCGAGCACTTGCTCTCTTCTGCAGCTTGAGGACGAGCTTGTCCTTCCGAACTTTCCACGTAGAGTGCCTCAGCAGTGCCAGCAGAAGGCACGCAATGCTCGTGGCTAAGTCTCGAGTTACCTGCGGTTGCTCTGGCATTTCACTACAATTTGCGATCTCAGGTGTGGACTGAGGGTCTATCTGCCCCCACAGCTCTTGAGCCATGTAGCACCTGCCAGTACAACCAAAATGCAGATCCTTGGAGGTAACTGCTTCAAGCATTGCGTCACCTGTGGCGTGCAAAGAACCCTCAAAAACAGTGCCCGCGACCAGTTCGACCCGCGCAGCTCGATGATGCGAACCTGCAGGATCCCCGGATTGGGTCAGGGAGTGTCAGCGGCAGTCTTCGTGGCTTATGGTAACTGCCATGCACTGTGCTACCTGAGGCTCATAGTCACAGCACTGCCGCTACGCAGCTTCGAACGTACCACGCACCACTACCTTCAAAGCTTTTGGGGGTAGAAGCCCCGCCTCCAGCGTGGTGGCCGTCATCCAAACGCACACCTTGTTGGTGGCGATCTCGTGGATTCCGGGCCTCAGGCTGTTTCAGTGGGGCAAGAAGACAAACCAAACACAGCCAAGATCCCCGCAAGGACATATAAACGGAGACAACATTCTTGTCCTCCTCATCCACAAAGGAGATCTCTTTGATCTCCATCCAGCTATCAATGGAGCTTACCCAGTCCCTCTGCTCCTCTCAAGCTGTGAAATGTCATCGATTTTGCTCACCAAAAGGCACACTCAGTAAGCTCCTTGGAAGATTGTGCAAGCCTTCCCTCGTTCAGGTCCAGCTTCTCACTATACCTCTTGGAGAACAAAAGAAAAAGAACAATTGTCTAAACAGATCCCAACACAAAGGGAATTCAGGAGGTGCGCACAGTCCTCCGTCCTTGCCAAAAGCACTTGCAGCCCCTGCCGCAACGGCAATTTCTGCCTTTGGAATGGGAACCTGTCGTTCCATAGAAATCGAATGCCCAAACATGTGCTGCATACGGCTGAGTCCCTGACTGCATCTGCTTGCTGTTTGGCCTCTCGATCCAGAGATAGTTTGCAGGTGCTGGGTGTCACACCTCTTGGCTTTGGCCTGCCTCCGCCAACTTCTGGCGAACCTCTGCATTCTGAGGTTCTAGCCTGGCTGACAGTGGGCTTGTGTAGCTTCGACTGCCCTCCACAGATCTCATACAACACAGATTAAGTTAAACTCCACGAAATAGCAGAACAGGCAGGAGAGTGCAAACATGATGCGGCGGCCGCAAAGCTTTTTGGAAGTCCTTCGCACAAGCGCAAAAGCCCAGAAGATTTCAACTTCGCAAATCATCTTGCCACCTCCACGGCACCGCGAGGGTCGCCCAGACTTAGGCGCGACAAACCTCTCCGGTAGACCTCGGTACACAGCAGAGGCTGAGGTCATACCACAGGCATCCACAAGCAAAGGTGCGCACCGCTTTGCTGTTTGAGACGTCAAACGCCAAGGCGGCTGAAGCACTTTCCTCCAAGCAGCTTTATGATTTCGGGAGGCAAACATGTTTGCTGGCCACTTCTTGCTTTTGAGACCTGCCACTCTTGGTCTGGACACTTGCACAATTAGGGTACAAGGTCGCACCTCAGCATCTCTGAACCGCGACAGCTTTAGGAAGCAGAGAGCCTCACAGACAAAATCAAATACAGAAGTTGCTCACAGTAAAGGATCCCACAGGCGAAGACCTTGTTCGAGGAGAGAGTCGACTGCAAGGTCGCGTCGACCATTCCAGACCTGCGTTCTGATCAAGAACTTGTGGGTGACCAATATCGCATCTGCTCAATGATTTTTTGGGGGGTTGCATCCCGACTTTGCAAAAACTATGCCGGTCAAAGGGTGTCAAACTCAAGGGCAAACACGCCGAACTCAGGCGGGAGCCTCTCCAGGCTGTCAATCGCCGAAGTGTAGCACTCGACTGCCCCCTGGCGTTGCAGTCCACAAACTTCCAGCAGCAAAGAGGGGCCTGCCGAAAGTCCTCCAAGTCACCCACGCGGAAAAGGCTGCCACCCTCTGCCTGCCAGCAGACTCATGCTAGCAATGTTTTGCATTGTCTGAAAGAAGAGCCAAGCATGTGCCCTGGCAAATGCACTGGTCTGCTCAACGCTGCAATGAGCAAGACAGAGATTATAGATTACCTTTGAGGTTCTCCACAGCATCGGGGTTGATACGACTGAAGTTAAGCGGTGCTTTCCTAGCAGCTTAGCCACTTCATGGCAGCTCACATTTGTGTTTGCGCAAGATACCCACTGGAAAGTTTGTCGCAGACAACCCTAAAGCAAAAGGTTAAAAAAAAACGGCAGAAAGGTGCTCCCCGCCGAATAAAATCATAACTTTGCTCAAGCCTGAGTGCTTTTCCGAGTTCGAAAAGGGCTGTCAACCAGTCGGGCAAGGCCCTCATCAAGCTCTTCACTAGAACATGTCAGACTCTTCCCATTTGGTTCAGTCCAGCTTGCCGTCGCAGGACCATTGTTGGAAAACACTTGTTAATTCTGCTTATGAAACCTCAGAGAAACTGCTGCCGTGGCTGTCTTCCCTCCTCTCCACATGCTTCACAAGCGAAAGTATGTTGATAAGGATGTTGCTCCTGCTTGTCCTGACTTCTGAGGAGGATCTATGAGAAAAAATCCATATCATTGCCATTCAGCTTTTTGACCTATCAAAAGACCACAACAAAATACGAACAAGCATCATCATGCTTGAAATCTGCTAACAACAACAATATTCATAATGATTATGGTATTCATCAAAGTATTTCAGAAAGGCTCGCCTTGAGTTGCTCGGCCACCTGACGCGGGTCCGGTCCTGCCGCACATTTCAGATTTCCAAATTTGCATGGCTCAGATGACCTTCAAAGTTTTTGAATGAAATGGATTGCATACGCAGGTTGCTAACGAAACTTTTATCTGCATGGCATCTAGGCCAGATCAGCAAGACCACGAAGGCGTCTAAATCATCCCTAGCAGGTCCTGCATCGGGACCAGCGGTCGCCTGTCCGAGGGGGCTCACGCAAGTTCTCTTTTCGCATGGCCAGTGCTCCATGAATGTTTTCCCGCACGATGTAGAAGTATACATATGCAGTGATGTGCACGTCGTCTGGGTTCAGTAATACCAAGCTTGCAACTTTCAGGCCTCCATGGTATCCAGCTCATCGCTCATGGGCTGCTGGGCGAAGGCATCTACTTTGGGATAAGATCTGGCGGGAGCATCTAGAAGCACAAATCGCATCAGATGCTCCAGGTGCTGAACCCGAGCATGCCACAGATGATTGCAGTTACAATGTGCAGTTCATAATACTAACAATATTAATAATTGTAAGAATAATAATCGGAATAATAGTAATAGTATTTGGCTGCACATCAGGCGTTTGGCTCAAGAAGCTGCAGCGGGCCAGCAGTGTGGTTGAAACCTCTAGCAACCAAGCCGCGGTTCTTGTTGACCTCCATGCTTAAGAAAAACCAATCACAATCTGTTTAGCTTATATAGGAATAGGGATACAGTGGGATAGTAGAAAAGAAAATGGAAACTACGATTTAGGGCTTAAGTTTTGGAGTCCCGGGTGTAGGGATTGTTTAATGGGACCCAGAACACAGCACTAAGTCATGTGGCTCCTGAGCTCCAAGGGCAGCGACTGGCAGTCATCCTCCAGGGGCAAGCAACGCGTGTGGAAGTGATTGCCATAAGAATATTTCTAATACACGATTAGGGTTTGGGGTTTAGGGTAGGATGGTGAAAAGATGTGAAAAGTAATGTTATCTTCATTAGGGTTTAGGGTTTAAGGTGCCGTGTAGTAGAGGTTGCCACTGGGGCATCTTCACAAAGAAAGGTCTGGGGCGGAGCAGCAACCCTTCACATTAGATCGAGCCAGGCAGGTATTCGTCAAAACTCCTTAGAATGGAGGAAACCTTGCGCCACCTTATATACCTTCTAGCCTTGGAACTACATTATTACAGGGGCCCTAGGTAATGCAATATTTCCTTGATCCACCGTGGGATCCCACATTTCTGACGAAGGTCCAAGGTCCTGGAGGCCTCCCCTGAAACTTACCAGCAACACACGATAAAACGCTATGCATGCATGTATGCATATTTGAAAACACACATGTATATCCATATACGCATCTGAATATCCTCAACATTATTTATCCATCCAGACAAAGACCTACAAACACGAATTACCTGAATGATCCTGCAAAAGGGCCTCCTCCAGCGGCAGAGTGGCCGCAAAGGGATTCCTCAAGGTCTGGCCTGCCTCAAGGCACAAACTCTTCACATAGGGTTTAGAGAAGGTTCATAGTAGCCATATATCTATGGTTTTCGAGTTCATATATGGATGTATGTGGGGGTATAGAGTTTACACAATGAGAAGGTTATATAGGGGTTACAGGGATCACGTAAGGCTTGCCATTGTTGTGATTGATGTTCTTGATTTTTATCATACCATTGTTGGAGGATTTCTCACAAAGGGTGCCCCAACAAACCTGGGGAACAAACCAAGAGTGAAAAGGAAATTGCAGGGTCCCTACGCGGAGAGTGTATAGATCATCTTGAGATTCCGCCACTGCTCAAAAAAGGTCCTCAATATGCGCAACATGAAGCAGCCGCAACGATCTCTGAAACACCCCACACATGATCCAATCGTAGAGGCCATGTTCCTGTACCCTTACTTGTCGCTATCATCCCCATGGCCTCCGGTAGAAGCTCGCTTCTTCCTGGCAGTCTTCCAAATCTAGACTCTGCTAGAACTCCTACCCTACTGGCCGCCTGCATGTTCACCTGCGCCACAACCATCATCACCATCACAATCAACCGCCACCAGCACCATCAACCGCCGCAATCACCACCATCACCACCATCACCACCATCACCACCATCACTACCAACACCACCGTCACCACCATCACCAGCATCACCAGCATCACCAGCATCACCAACACCACCATCACCAGCACCACCATGGCCGCCGCCACAACGATCGCCACCGTCACCGCCATTGCCACCATCATCATCATCATCATCATCATAATGATCATCATAGTCATCATCATCATCATCACCACCACCACCATTGCTACCAAACACATCAGAACCCACATCCTAGACGCTCTGGATTTAAGGCGAACTTCCACAGCATGAGTGCATTCGTCTGTGAGTGACACCCGGTCAAGGAGGCGCAGAACTACAGGCATTCAACCCTAAACCCTAAACCTTATATAGCCTCTCTATAGCCCCTATAGGGTACACCCCATTCGCAGATTTACTGCTGGGCAACCATGAGTCATAAGACTACCATGAGCTCCCAACACGCACCCTCTCGCCCAAACTCACAAGGCCGAATGGCTGTACAATGGCGTTATATATGGGGGTCAGATGTGGGAATGGAGAAGAAAATGAAAAGTATTAGACTAAGCCATAACAAGCCCCAAAAACCTGCAGTAGACCGCAGTAGTCCCGAGTAATCCATACTAAAGCCCTCAAATTGTGGAGCCCAAAAGACTTTCCGAGACACTAGTCCTGAAAACAGCTGGCCGCACTCGCCTTCCACAGCTGGTTCCTGGCAGAAGCCACGGTATAGCGGGAAAAGTGCTTCTCAAATTGGCGGCTCTGAGAAACTCCAAGCATACGGTAGTAACTACAACAAGGTTATGCTTACATACTATACATGCCAAGTGGTGCTTCTGTGATGAAGTTTTGGCGCGCAACTTTCCAGAGCTTGCTGACTGCAAGCACAGGCTCCAACTATCTATAGGGCTGCGAACAGCCAAAGTCTCCACAGCTCTAAACATGCTGAAGAAAAGCTCTGATGCGTGCTGCCACACAGTGGCAGTGACCACCCCGTTCATGGCCTCTCTTTACAGGCAATTGACTCTCTAGGACCTGGCGGTACAACCATTTGCCTTATCCTTGCGATCTGTTGCGTATTAGGAAGAGGCCAGCTCTCAGACGGCAAAAATGCAGTGCCCCCTGCAGCAACTCTCTTGAAGAGTAGCTGGCCAGCACCTATGCGCTGAGCGGGAACCTATTTCATTGAATTCGCAGTCCGCGGACTTGGTTCGACGTAAATTCTCCGAATTTCTGACATTGACTGACGCTGCAAGCTCCAAGACTTCTACAAATGCTACCCTACAAGGAGTCGAACTTCACCGGCTCTCCACATGCTTGCACCGCCAGTCAGTCATGGCATATGCAAAGGGATCCGCCCGGTTGGCTCAGGCTGGCCTTGGCACTGTCAGCCAAACAGCAACAGCAAGCAATACAGCTGGTCACGGGAAATGAAAAGAAACTTTCCTAGTAAAATCTAATTATCTTGGCCCTAACTCGGAGTAGCCTATTCGCCGTGAAGGACCGCCTCGCAGCATCCCGCATCCATGCAAGATTTGGCAAAAGGATCTGGCAGAGAGGTGCTTCTTGGGACCGAGTGCTCCAACTTTGAGGAGGGTCTCAGGAAACTTCAGGCCCCAACACTGCTTGTGCCTGCAGCACTCGGCGCGGGGATGCAGCACGCCTCAATGTATCCAACACACTTACACTGGAGCCTGAACTACGTGCTGGTCTTTACATACATACCTTTACACAAGTTACTACCCATGCATCAGTCAAGATTTATGCTGTGAGCATATGTGCCGCATCTACCAGCATAAAGATAAGAATGTATCTGAGCTGAAAAGAAGCCCCAGCCTCGCACGAAGATGCGCATACTGCCTAGCCGGGATTCTTTGATTCTGCTCACTGATCATCCTCGTGATCTTCATCATGGCCCTCCGCCTAGGGCCTAGAAAGAAGTGTACCACAGTTGCTCCATCATGTGACATTGCATTTTTCTGCAAGTCCTGAAAAATGTATTCATTTCGGTGTTGCTGATGATGATGGTGATGGTGATGATGATGATACTGCTGCCACGGCTACGTCTGCATGCGCCGCTATTGCAGCTGATAGCACTGCTACTGCTCGTACCGTTGCGACCGAACCGACATCAAGTCTTGCACCTAGAAGGGCTTGAGAAGACGAACACAATCCAAGTTGCCACCATCACTACTTGTGATCAGAGTCATACTGCCATGCACGGATCCGCCTGTCAAGCTCTGCGTAGAGGCGGTCGTCAAGCTGAATTGCTGTGCAGCTTTGCTGCCTCACAGAAACTCTCACTGAGAAACCGTCTGAAGTTGGACAAAGCTCAGCCTGCACCACTTCAAGACTTTCGCGTTGACGGCATGCTCCTCGTAGCCCATCTCTAGGAGATGCCTGGGTCGCCCGACGCATTTCTGTCATCAGCTGCATAAAAATCGGAGAGCACAGCGAGATCGGGAGAAGTGAGGCAGGATGAGGCAGGTACCGCAGTACTTGGTCATCCTGCGAGCCTGCAAAAGTTCAAGATTGATCTCATATACTTAAGAAACGATTTCCACAACTTGTTTTCAACTGCCTTGAGCAGCATAGCCTCGCCTGGGTGGTGCTTGGCGTTTAGGGAGAACACACACAGCCACCGCTGCTTGCTACAACTGTGGCCTGGCCCCAGACCCATCGAAGTTGAAGTCTGCCTCAGTTGGATGATCTTCTGTCGGCAAAAGGCAGCTGGCTTCCTGAGACCCCAGCTTTGCCACCAAACCAGTTCTGGCCGACGCTGCTCAAGGTACCTGCCAAGCCGTGCTTGAGAAGCTCGGGGGAGAGGGGTATCCAAACTGGGCCCAGAGCTGATGGCTTCAGCAGCCGTGGCCCTGATGGCATCCGTCACGTTGCGAAGGATGTCCTGGTTCTGGACCTGCTCTCGGCTGCCCTTGTAACCACAATTTGCAGCGTGCAACAATCTCATCCACAGCCTTCACATCCACGGAGTTCTCGGGCTCCGGCATCTTAGAGCAGAGAGGCTATGAGAGGGAGACACGCAAATGGAACCAGTTATTGAGGAGCCAGGGGACCACTTCAATAACCGGCTCCTCCGGCATTCCAGCTCGAGCTTGCCTGATGGAACAACATGGGAAGAGGCGGATGGTACAGGATGGTATACAGGGTTATATAGGAACAATGGAAAAGAAAATGGAAACTGCTATATGTTGATAGGGTCTATCTTTGTGGGGATCCCCACAGTAAGGACTATGGCATATTGGGGTCTACATCGGGGTCCCCTTATTCAGGGAAACTACAATATATGGGGTCATATGGGGGTTGAAATCATTCAAGGGCCAATTTGGCCTGCGCAGGTAGCTCACGAACGAATGCCAGTCCATACGCTCTCCACCCGTTTCTGACCTTGCACGCTTCAAACACGAGAATTATCGATGAGCAAAAGATGTGCTGCGACACATAACATGCATAGACTGTCCCAAGGGCACGGACGCTCTGCCTGTGATTTGGATGAAGATCGCTTGAGCTGCCTGCAGGCACTGTGCAGAAGTGTTTGTCGAGTCTATGCATTGCATAACTTGGCCTCCTTGGCATTTCGATGTGCCTGGAATGGCAAGGGCATCAGACCAAGGAAAAGAATGACCACATCGAGTCAGCTAAATCTCCAGAGATTTACTCCCAGCTGCAGGCAGCTCGGGGCAACAGCTTGTCTCAAAAAAATGAGAGTGTTTGTGCAAGTCCAGTCGAGTTCAGGTTCGCCATGCCTCTGGCAAGAGTGACTGCACGTCTTCCATGGAGAGAAGCCCATCGTGATCCTGTGAGCCCTCGAAAAATCGTGTAGCAGTGAAGTCACGCACACTCATGGCAATAGAAAGCCTATTCTGCTGTCTGCATGGATCTTACAAAAATGTGCATAACTGCCCTGTCCCGGTCGGCATTGTGGAAGATCAGGTGGATGGAGGGCTCCAGCTTGGGATTGCCCAAATCAATGCAAGCCTTGTCTCTTGGCGATATAGCTCCATGCGTTCAAGTTAACATGTCTTGGCCACGGACAGCCACAAACTCCGTCCAGTCCTTTACCCAAGCTCCCCAGAAAGCTGGGAAACAAAGGCATTCCAGCGTGGTGCAAAGGTACGCTGAGCTTCGCACCACTGCATTCTTGTTCTGACTGAGGTTCATGGCGGTCGCCGCACCTAGCCAAGATTTCAGAACCCTGAAAGTCTGCATAGGAGCTGACACGCTAAGAGCAGCTCGTTTGGCTTGTTGCTCCTCATAGCCACAGTTCACAAACTTGCGGACCTCGACTTCACCAAACGGAGTCGCACGCATATGCTGCCTTACTATGAGGCATAGGAAGGTCACCCAGTGCCTGTGGCCCTAGCCAGGACTGACTCCTGAAGCAAGCCCGTTCCTTCATCGTCGAACCTGAGCCACGCCACGGAGATGCAAATGCACCCCGTGGAACAGCCACAATGATTTCGGGAGAGGACTCTTTGAAGACGCTCTTGAAGGACGGCATTTCGTTGGGAGGCCAGTCCTGGCAAGAATACAATAATGATAAACGGCACCCAACGTGGCTACAGGCGTAGCCTGGGCTATCTTCAGGCAGATCAGCTTGTAGAATGCCTCTGGAGTTCGATCAGATTGACAACGTAGTTTGATGCACGGGATAACATGCAAGCGACGTCTCGCTCGCAGGTTGTCACAAGGCGGTTGATCAGCTTGAGGCCCTTCTCCTCAGGGCTTCGGGCCATCCACCGGACTTTGGACTGAAATGCAATCAAGCACATTGGATGTCCATCTGTGTCACAGGGATGCCATCCGAAGCCTTGGCGACAAGGCCCCAACAACAGGAAGCGGTGGGCAAATCTGTGGCAACTGACTTGCACAGATTGCTGGCAAAAAATGAAGCTAGTAAGCTCAACTTGGTGGACCCATGGTCTGAGCTTCCGACACGATTCACAAACGGTTCCTTGAGGCCCTCAGCAGCGCTCATGCGCCTGGGTCTCTCCTGACATGTTGTGACAGCGCCCTTGCTGCAACCTCTACAGAAAGCACGATGCTGACTGTCTACAGCAGGGATGATGGATCCGTCTCTGAACCCCTGCGGAGGCCTGCTCCAGCATCAAGGACATGAGGCTTTGAGCATCTGGTGGTGCGTGCTGCACACGCTCCTTAATTCACAGGAGGGGCCAAAGCCAAAACAACAGTATGTTTCCACTTCATTCTCCATTGTCTTGTCCATTTTATTATCCATGTTTGGGGTGATACCCTTAGATAATCCCTCTAGAACGCCTATATAAGCTTGATTCCTAAATGACGCATGTTTCATAATCTTACTGGTTGTTAGTAGGAAAATGGGAATATAATCCCTACATAATCCCCATATAACATATTCAAGTATTCCCTACTAAACCTGAACCCTAAGCCCGAATCCCTAAACCCTATAGAGATATATACACACACATATGTATATATATATATACATTCCACGCTCATCCCCTGATGTCAGACATCATCCTCAGCTTGGCTGCGGACCCAATGAGGCCTAGGCCTCGCCTCCCAGAAGTTTCGGGCCTCCTGCTTGTTGCCCCCTTAGACGAGAATCCCAGCTTCCATTTCGTTTTCCATTCTCTTTTCCATTTGATTCTCCAGTCTATAATGGGTACCATAGTATCCCCAAATAAAATACAATATGACCCTATAATCTCTGTAGTTTCCTTTTTCTTTTCCCCTTAGACGAGGCCAGGAGCAAGGCATCTAAAGGTACGCGTGTACGCTTGTACATATATACACAAGAATGTAGAAAATAATACTGTCAGACAGCAATCTAGTACTACAGTAAGGTAGCAATATGTGGCAAGTGGTGTGTCTATGATGTAGTTGTAGTTTCACGGAAGGCTGGGAGCGGCTGGGAGCCCGGCGATACTTGAAATCCCAAGGGGTCTGGAAGCCTCGCAAATGAATTACAGCTGCTTACGCAGCAGCTAGCATGATGAGCAGAGTTGGACCGAGGTTGCCACTGAAAAGCTCAAAAAGAACGCAGCCACAGCTGAACACATCAGCCTCAGGTCTCAGCCAAGCATCTTCAGCTCGCAAAGTGCGCTCAACAGTCCAGCGCCTTTGGCGTAATCTCCCCTCGCCAAACTTCCGGCCTTTTATCGCGGCCAAGGTTGGGAAAAAATGCGCGTCAGCCGCACGCTAAGGTTTGAACGCCATTGTTGAAGGAGTGCCCATGGGATTTCCCCGCTTGAAGTTGCCCGGCTGGAAAAGGGTGGCCTTCGGGATGAATAGTGAGCTCATCTACCAAATGTACCATTTCTAGCAAACTTCCGAAAGTACAAACACTGCTATTCCGAACACAATGGATGTGAACAGGGCGAAAGCACACAACCACTCCAAGGGAGGCACCACGCCCAAATCGATCACGATGATGTGAGGAAGCCTGAGGCCCAGTCTTCAACGAAACTTTGGATGCAGCAATCTAAGAACATGCTGGCGAGGGAGGGCGATCCCGAAAAGAACGTGAGTAGACACAGATACACTGTATCCCAATAGGCTAGGTGTAGTTCAACGTGAACCCAAAAGAGCCGATGAAATTTTGAGAATAATGCAAACGAGCTGCTCTTTAAAGATGTCAATGGAGCAGACCGCCTTCAACCGCAGAAGTTCTTCTGTCAGACAAGAGCGCCAGAAAATTGGTCCTCGTTGGGTTCTGCTTGAACAAATCGCATCTTGGTCTCCAATGCTGGCATGAGCCTGAGTGGCAGTTGTCTGACTCCATCCAACATCAGCCATATCATCATTGTGACTACAATTATTACTTGTATTATTAATATGATTACTGTTTGTGCTATTATTACTTTGTTACTATTATCACTATGATCACTATTATTACTACTATTACTGTCATTACTGTTTTTACTATTATTAGGTTCCAGGCATGATGTTCTGGGACTTGATGTCCAAGTGGATGATGCCGTTTGCGTGGATGTGGGTCACGGCAGAAAGAAGCTGAGCAAATCAAGACACATGATTGTATGCCACTAGGGCGGAGAATGTCAACAAACTGCTTCTGCTTTGTCTTGTGATCATTGTTATTCGTACTTGGATAGCACTTTAAGTGCACCATCCAGCGAGCCTGTTGCATGACATGGGCAATCCACACCTGCCAATTCCGAAATCTTGCCCATGCCCAGGTGCCGACGCGTGACCACTTCACCACCCGAAGCCCATGATCCGAGCCTGCGGGATGGGCTTTCGCGAGCCTTTGGCATCGCCTCAACACGCCAGCTAGCGCTTCAGAGAAGTTGGGACATCAAAACAAAGACAAGCGGCAGATGTGCTTATGCAGCTCCCCACGTGAGCAATGGTCTGTCACCTGCAGCCACACATTAGGATGCTGCAAGGCCCGCAGCAGCCATGGCTGTTGCTGATGTGAAATCATGCCAGCAGCTCCAAGAAGATGCGATCCTCGCTGTTGTAAAACTCCAGAAGCTTCAGGACCTTGCAGACCATATGATGACTGCGAGGGCACTAACGGCTGGAGTGAGGCTGAATCAATGCAGCAGGAGTTGTTCTGTAGAAGAATAAGGCAGCGAGACTGGACCACATTGTGTGCGAGCAAGTAAGGATTGGCGTGTTGTACACCATAACCCAACGTCTTTGCTGCCTTCCAGGCGACAACAACATATTCTACGCGAGTTTGGACTTCAGTATCTTGTTGGCATCTATTGGAAGGGACGTCCCACAAAGGCCACAGATCCAGCATACACTTCGTACAAATGAGGTAAAGTCGGAATCTGTGCTTTTCTCTCTTCTAGTTCCACCAAAAGCAACAGGTGCCAGCCTGCGGATTGCCATAGGCACGCTTCTCCCCACGTGCTTAGGAAGGCATTGCCGGAATCCCGGAGGAGTTGTCAGGTCAGGTTGCGGCTATCCACGTTAAAAAGACAAGATATCGTTTTTCAGTGTAGTTTCCAGTGCCACCGCGAAAAGCAACAAACAGGATTGTGTACAGAGTTCACACCTTCTCTGAGCCATGAATAGGGTACATCATGCTCTGCTAGAGGCCGTGTCTGCCGGTATCCTTGCCTTAGAGGTGTGGAAAAGATGCGAGTGGTGTGTCACGTGAGTTTCAGACATTAGGCGACAAACCGATCGAAATCGCTAGCAAGCATCGACGAATCCCGACAGCATGTAGAATCCAGATTTGCTTGATTCGTGGGCGCTTCTGGTGCGCCGCGGTACTGGGAGTCTGCAGAGGTTCTCACTGCGCGGGCCCTAGCTCAGCTGAACCCAATGGAGGTGTAACGCATTGTATCAGCAAACAGTGTTGGATTTTGCATGACAGAGGGTGGGGGAGTTTGCGAGGGCAACACAAAAGAGGCACAGCAAAGTGAAAGAGTGAAAGTGTGAGCGTTTTCTGGGGTCCGAAGCTCAGGCGGCATCAGATCCAAAGAAGCAACTGGCAAGCATGAAGCCATATGAACCATTGTCAAAACTCCTAGTATCCCCCTTAATAAGCCCTATAGTAGTCCCCTATATAATCCCCTATATAATCCCCTATGTAATCCCCCTTTAAGGAGTTTAGACTATGGTACATATGAGCCTGTTCAATCTTTCTAGGACCAACACATGGGGATGGTCCAGCTGGATGAGATTCTGAATCTCTTGCTTTAGGAAGGCCATATCTCCGTGCACCTGCAGTTGGGTGGTTGTCAAAATTATGGGCTTTTCTGGGTACCCTAACTATTAGGTGCCGTATTATAATAGGGATCCAAAAAGGGACCATAATTTTGACAACCATCCAGTTAGAGGCTTTCTCACAAACGTAGCCCGTGGACATCAGCCTGCCTTGTCCTTGTTGATGATCTTGATGGCACGTGTCTGCCTTCACAAAAATCTCACAGGATGCCATGCCCTTCCCTGGATAAGCGCAATAACGATAACAATAACAGTAAAAGGAATACTACCGCGGAAATAGTAGTAGAATATCAATGGTAGCCAAATGCCTGGTCTGCTTGTCCTTGGCCTTGACAACTTCACCATAGGTGCCCTTGCCCAAGGTTTCACCTTGTCTCTAACATGGCCTATCTTCACAAGGTGAGAGTTGCAGAGATTCAGCATTTGGTACGCTACCTCGTACACTACCGCACTCTGTCAGGCTCTGTAAGGTGGGGGCAGATTTGATACCGCGAGTCCGGGGTGCCAGGGATAGCTGTTTCAGCCACATCCTTCTGCAAAGCCTGCATGCGGAGTTCCATTCACTGTAGCAACACTTCTGCCGATCAAAATTGCACCTGCACGGACATGTCTTGTTGCAAATGCGCAATGTCGGAAAAGATCATGCGAAAGTCGTCAAACCTCGCGTCTTCTCTGACAGGTCGTGCAAAGACCACAGAGAAGTCTTGGCACGTTGTTGGGAAAACTCGCAAAGCTGAGGGCGGATCGACAAGGTGCCTCCCTGGGCTTGCATCTTCACCTGTTGAGTCGTCTCTGCAAAACATCAGCACCATTGAGCCATCGCAGGGGCCTTCAGGTGGACCTGGCCACCAAGGAGCCCCACGAAGCTGTCCACCTTCTCCCCAAGCACCGTGACTTCGTCGGGGCTCTGGACTTAGCGCATGCAGGCCATTTGGACCATACGCAGCGACCCCAAGACCCCGACTGCTTTCCGTCTTTGTCCGTCCAATCTCGGAGAAAAACCTTGCAGGACCCAAATGGGCAAAACGGCTCAGTCATCAGTAACAACCCGTGCATCTTGTGCCTTTCGGCTTGCATCTCCAGCTCCACATTGGCCAACATGCTGTGCACTGCTGAAACCTGAACGCTACCATCACTCTACACTTGCAATCACTGCTTGCTTTGCAGTTGCCTGCTCCGGTGTTGGCATGCGCCGTGGACGGATTTTCCACTGGTCATGCAGACGCAATGCCTAACAGTTGACATGCTGCACCGCAAAGCTTCTCATTCTCATTCGTGCACTAAGACGCTGGCAGTACCAGGCTTCACATCTAGGATTATTCCGCCAGACCTTTAGTGCATAGCACATCATGCAACCTGCGGTGACACGTAGCACCGTGACCGTGACCCAACAGATCGTCACTCTGAGGCAAGGACTCGGGGTCAACGTCCAGGATGGAAGCGGGAATCCAACACCTGCAAGAGAAAGAACACACAACTCGAAATCAAGACTCTGTACTCCGTCTGACATGTATCAAACCTCGCAACTCTCATGGGATCTTTACCTGCCTGTGGAACTCACTCCAGTAGTCGACCTTGCAGCAGCTAAGCAAGCTCTATGTCCAACTTAGAGCCTCAGCCTGCCTAGCACGAGAGTTTCGAAGGGGAACATGAGCAGAAAAAGGGTTCGGGACTGACATCGGTAACTCCTTCAAACCGTTGTCACAGAAAGACAAAAGAATTGGGGAGGCAACAATGCCTACTTGCCAGCTGTGCTTGCTTCGCCAATGCTACCTTTTCTGTTAGATGGAGCTTTGCATGGGTTCCGTCCGGCCACAGTAACCAGTACTCAAGTGTTCAAAAATGTGTTCAAACAGCTGAGTTTGTCACCCACTGACCTTTCACCTTGCGGAAGGGTTCCATGGGATAAGCCGATATCGCCTAGACAGGGCCACTGGCACTGCTTGAAACTCGGGGACGACGGCCACACGCCTGCTTGGCCAGCATCTGCTGCTTCAGCTTGTGTGCGTGATAGCAAGGCTCATGTCGGGCATGTGGCTCTTCCCGTGGTGCATTCGGCTGCCTCGCTTCACGGGACAAATCATCACGGCTCAACTGCTAACTCCGCTGCGAGCCCAACCCCTGGGCTTGCAAATAGCACTGCCGCAGGTTCGGCCTGAGGAGTCGCCCCGGCCACAAAAGTGCGTCTGCCACAAATGCGAAATTATGCGAATCGCCCTTCAACTCACCAAGCTTCGAACACGGGAGTAGGACTCCGCACCTCGGATGTCGCAGATAGTCTTGCAGAGTCAACTCCGTCATCAAAGCTGCGGCGTTCATAAACCTATGCACATGAGCTCATTTGAACCGGGGCTCATTGGCTGAAAATCATGAGGCGTTGTTGCACCCCATGCCGATCTTCAAACTCTTCAAACTGCAGCCTATCAGAGTGCATCTTTGATGCTCTGTTCCAGGCAAACGAGACTTCAAAGGCATACTGCTACGCATGATAAGCCGACATCTTCGATGTGGCCAAATTTTGGAGACACCTTGTTCGATGCTCTAAAACAAGCTTCCCCCCCACTGTTTATCTTTCCACTGTTGGAAGGATGTTTTGTGCTGTCGGTCGTACCAAATGAGGAATTCGGGATATGTCTGAGCAGCTGGCGTCACGAACTCACGGTAAGAGGAGAACAAGCGTTCTCGGTCTGCTAGTACAGAGTGAAAGCATCCAGATTGCATGTCAGTCTTCAGCTTCGTGTTGTCGGTATGGAACTCTGTGTCAAGTTTCCGTGCACGGCCCAATGTCACACGACACAAAAGCATGCAGCACAGGCCTCCGTGATCATGGACATCTGTATGCTCCGCCGCGGTGGCATACATGTCGGCTTTCGAGGAACACTCCGTAAAGTAAATTCCAGATCCGAAGGCTGAGCCATGTTCTAACCTGTGATTATCTTCAAATCCATCCTCGAAAATGGACATAATATTCGTCGGTGACGTCCCATGAAACAGCCAGTGCTCATTGGCCTCACGAGAAAGTGGCAGTGGGATGTGCTGATCTACGATTGTGTCAGCATTCAGAGACGAGTGATGATAGTGCTCTGCAGACTCTCTTTTCAGCTGCATGGCAATCTCCTTCCGAGTTTGGACATATGCATCCCAAAGATCTGAGTGCATCACTCGCTCAACCTCAACGACCTTGAGGTGATCTGCTTTCAATTTCACATCTTTGGTCTGGAAGGTCCGATGGACCACGTCGGACATCCACATGAGCATGGCTGTCTTGAGGAAAGAGTGCTCTCCAATCCGCGCGCCTGCTCGAAACAAGAACATCTTGACTTCAATGTTACGCTCGCTGAAGCTGGCATTCCCATTCCGGAAGTGCAATTGTAGGACTGCAGTTCCTTCGCAGAAAGGTGTCTGACCATGAAAGCTCTGGCCACAATCATGTTCCAACTCATGCGAGCCATCATCAGTCAGCAAAACAGCTTTGACGTCCAGCCCAGGACCTCTCTCCTTCATGGTCACAATCCAGTGCACGCCATCATCACTGAATGAGCCTTCCACGGAACTAGATCCTCCAGCTCCTAAGCGAATAGACCAAATCCGGCCCCGCCAGTTCTCCTTGCGGATTTGCATGGTACTCTTGACCGATGGGGTGTGCGGTATGGTAAGTCCATTGGAGAGAATTCTAGACACCGCGGTCCGGACGTTCACTACCAGCTTGTCTGAGAAGGTCCTCGCCAGCTCAGCATTCCCGTTGAAGGAGGAGCTCCGGACCGGAGAGTTGTTGTTGCTGCGCAGGACACGGCCCTTTCTGGCGGCAGCTGTTGCGCCGCTTTGTTTCTTCCCTACACAAGACGGCCTACCCCAGAAGCTTGCAGAGCAACATCCTGCGGCAAAGCTGCCCAAGCAAATTAACACATTTTCGGCGACCATCGGACGGAGTTTGCCAACAGCAGCCCTTGAGTGAGGAACGGCTGTCAGGAATTGAAGTTGAGTGACTTTACCTATGTCCGCACGAGGCATGCGAATCACAGCTTCAATGATGCATCATTATGAAAGTCACCAAAAAAAAGTGGCCTCTTCTGAAAACACCTTACACTTTTGAACCTACCCACGGAGGCGCATCGGATCTGAGGATATTGCTTCAGCCATATGCCGCCGTGCAAAGGCCTTGGCAACGTGCGTTACGTCGTACGTCATCCATGAAGCGAATGACCCGATAACCTCCTAAGGAAAATACGATGCCTTGATTGTCCCCGTCATCTCAACATGTAATTCACTTGTTTTCTGGCTGCGGAACCTGAGGGCAAAGCTGCACACCCAGATGCGCAGAGAGGATGGAGACGCAAAGCTCTTGATCAAGGCAAACGGCAAGAAAGATGCAGAATCTTCACATGAACTGCGCAACTTGTAACAGACCGACTTTGGGGAGGTTCCAAGCGTTGCAAAGCTTCCAAATGCCCGCATGAAGGCGTCCATCTCCCAAAAAGAGCAGACTGCAACCAGGGCCTTCTGCAGAGGAGCGTCGTACAGCTTACCAGACCCAAGCCTGGCGACTCTGACTCTACATGCCATCTTGTTCCCTGCAGGACCACGCTGGAATCGAAGTCCAACCATATCACGCTCAAACCAACTAAGGAATGGTGTCAACACAGATCGCAATTCGAGCACGGGAACACCTTTCACCATGGCAGGCATCTTCCTTGCCTCTGCTTGAGGATGCACTTGAAGGAATTGTAATGCTCTTGCCAATGCAATTCCACAGATCGTTTGCCTGGTTCTGGTGGGAGCCGAATCGTCTTCAACTCCATAGGACCCTCTGCGGACACCTTTCGCCATGGGTAACTAGAACTCTTACTTGCGAATCTGCAAGGTAATGTGCCTGCGAATTGGTTCCCGGTTTCCACTCTGACCTTGCTGTCAAGCTACCCAGTGACGGGAGAAAACGAGCAGACCATGCGTCAATCGCACAAAGCACCAACTACCCACACGTGGAGGACTTCCGACTGCCCAGTGCCTGAAAATAATGATTTACGAGCCGAGCTTGAAACCATCCATTCCCCCGCACATTCTGGCTTGGGCTGCAAGCAGCAGTTGGACTACATAGAGCTGAGCCTGTGACCACGTTTCCAAAAACAGCCCAGGCCTGCAAGTCATGCTGCGACGCACGAATGCAAGAAGTTCTTGGAACAACGCTAGACTTGATGAAGTTGGGATGGCTGCAAAGGAAAGGAACCTAAAACTCAAAGCTGGGTCAAACACGGAATCTCCGCTGTCTCCTCCAAATTAGCAGTCCTGGCCATCATGTATTTGACAACAATATGTGGCAGCGCAACAACACAAAGGAAAAAGCGAGGGGTGCGAATCGTCGCCAAGGTAATTTAAGACCTGATGTTCATTGCAAACGAAACTTCTGTTGCAAACTGCGAAATATGCTGGCCTTGGCATGCAGAGGCGACAAAGAGGGAGGGGAAAACTCGCCGTGACCTGCACGCCAACAAGAACTGAATCTGCCACTCCAAAATCCAATCGGACTAACTTCGTCCCCATACAAGGACCTCTGCAACTGCCACAAACATGTTGGAACCTGTCCAGCGCATCTCCGGCCGGTGGAAACCGTACCTCTGTTGCACCCTAAACAAGCAGCGGAGCACACTGTTGTCCAAGAGCTGCATAATTGTCTCTGGCCTCGGGCTGCTCATCCTCTACCATGGGCCCAACATGATAGCTGCTATGTGACACCTGAGTTGACCTGACGATTCACCGTCATCTTTCGAGAAAGTGCTACTGCGTGTGGTATCACATAAAATGATGCATGGTTAACTTTTTAATAGTTTGAAATGTCCCCGTGGAATGCGAGGCGTGAACTCGAACCGTCAAAATGTAACATTCATTCATGCAGCAAATTTGCCACACTGCTTGCTGACAGATGCGATTTTGAACTGATAAATCTGCCATTTCATGATTTTCTGCGTTTATGAGTGGGAAGGCGCCTTTGGCCTGATCAATGTTTTGGCAAGCGTCTGACTTCAAGCTATGTCAGCTTGGATTGGTGAACGACAATACTTGAGAAACTGATCGTGAAAGCACGATGCTGCTTTCAGTGATCACCCGCCGCTCACCAAAGCTTTTCATGGGTTGGGAAAGCTGGTCGAATGTGTTCAATGAATCTGGCTGAACCAGACTCTAACTGACATGGCTATGAAAATTCCAACGTCATGCACATAAGAAAACTAGTTAAAGGACCGGAGAACCCCACATGTGCAGTTTAACCTAAATCTGTGTGGAACGATACTAGGATACGGTCGCCCGCCCAAATAAGAAGACACGTTCGAAGAGAAGATGAAAACAGGAAACGATATTCCGGAACGAGGCGAAGGGTGTCTTGCGCGAGTGCGAAGGTAAACTACCCTGAGGCGTTTCCTCGCGGCGGCAACTGCACTCTCGATCCCGCGCGGACCATTCCGGCACCCTGATTGGACCATGCCGGATGTGGACACTACTGGGACCCCACACACTAATACTGTCTGTTAAGACATACATACACAAATACATGCATACATACATACCTACATACATACATACATTCATACATACATGCATACATGCCTACCTGCATACATATATGCGTCAGTCAGCCAGGCCCAGCGGAAAAAATCTTTATGGACTCCGCACCCGGGATTAGAGAGAGGAAGAGAGTACACTCTAGATGCGCTCTGTGACACGCTTGAAAAGCTTGCCCAAGTTTTTTCCGGCATCGCGACCACTGATGACGTCCATCTGACTGGCTTCGGGACCTCAAACGTGTTTTTTAATTTTTGCTTTATGCAATTTAGATAATGACGACTAGCTGCAATATTCAACGAAATTAAGAGCAGCTCGATCGCATCCAAAATTTCTTCCACGAGCTTCCGAAGGACAAAACCGCGGACAAGATCGTTCTCGTTCGCAACCTCGCGAAGTTGCGCACAACGCATGACCAAGCAATGAGCTACCGTTCATTTTAACTACTACTACTACTACTACTACTGCTACTACTACTACTACTACTACTACCACCACTACTATTACTAGTCATTCTGGCACAGTCAGTCCGGTCGGCTTGTGAACAGCGAATGGCGGCGGCTTAGAGCCGGCGCATCTGGTGCCAAAAAAATCCACTGTGGGAGTCAATGCTACGAGTAGCCTTTGAATGACTCATCAACTATCAGACTACCGTCGGGTGTAGAATGTAGAAGTGGAAGCTATGTACCACTGTACAGCGCGCTGTACCAGTGGCCTGAGAAGGCGCACTTTCTCAGTGCTAACTTGCATGTGGGACTCTTCCTGGCCTTTCCAAGACCAAAAGCAATGGTGTGCTCCGGTTAGGGCAAGTACACATGTTTTGGTGGGTCTAGCGCATAAAATGGAATTGGTGACCAACAAAGAGAATGATAGTTCTTAACCACATCAACATCTGTTGCGAATCATGCTTCAATGAGGGTTTTTGCAGTTCCCCGAGCATAGGATGGACAACTGAAGTTATCCGCATGTGCAACTGTAACCGTCCAACATGTTGAGGGGTAACCTGGAGGAAATCCCAGCTAGAGATGAGTTGGTGAGTTGGGCTCCGCAAAAAAACACTGTTATCCCATCTTGATGACATAACATAACAATTTCCTCCCAACATTTGGAAAAGTATTGATATTGACGACCTGGCCTCAAACTGACTTTGCAACAAACTCACTGGCTCACGTGAGTTCACATCAGCATGAAAATTACATGGTTCTTGTAGATTGTAGTCCTTGACCACATGTCCATGAAAGAACGCAGACCTTCAGACCTGGCCAGCACTGCACACCACAATTTTTTCGCAACTTGCATTGCTTCGATCCTGAGATCTGACGCCTCAGCATGATTAGAACGAACACTGAAGCCACAGCTTTCCCCAGCCACGGCCCCACCCCAACTTCAACAGCTGAACTACCACCACAGTGATTTTCACTGTTTGCGCAGCTTCTCCAAAACTTGCTCGTACCTCACAGCACCTTTACCCGATGCTTTCACATAATCCACTACACCTTCATACGCACTGGCCGTGCCCTTCAAACAAAAGGATTTTCTGACTCCATAAATCAACACCGCAGACCCTGTGCGCTCAGCTGCAAGGAAACCCGCCGGGAGGTAGATGCCCTCGCCCATATTCTGATGGCAGTAGTACGCGCTGCAACCATTATCCTTGAGCTTGACGAGGGTCTCATAGTCCAGGGAGAGTATCACATCGGAGCTGCCATCGTCCTGGCTTGGAAATTCCAGCTTCAACTTCTTCGCTGCACTCATGAGCTCAGTAAGCTTGAAGGCCCACAGCTGGACATCCCGTGGCCAGGAACTTGAACATGTTCATGCCTTGCGGAGTGGGGCTGACGAAATTTCTTGAAGGCATGTACCCATACAACCAGATCTCTTTCAACATCTGCTCCTCTGACCCGTCAAAGGGGAACTGGTTGCCATCCATCTTGCAGGATTTCATGATCTTTTGCATGATGGCGAGGGACTCCTCTCTCCCATTCTTCTTCTGAATGGGAATCTGTCCTTTGCCGGACTCCTTCGTGGTCGTTTGCGTCTTGCACTGCCCTCCATACGCAGAAAGAGCCATTTGGACCTTAGCAAGATCCAGCCACTCTTTCTGAACGAAGGCAAGCTTCAAGTGAGCAGGCTTGTCTGCATCGAAGGCAAAACCATCTTTGGCAACATCCTCATCCTGAACCACCTGCATGGGAAACTTTGACAGCATCGCATCTTCGATGTCGAACAACTTGGGGGTCTGGACCTCTTCCATCTTGGCGTCCTCAGCCGCCTTTTTGGCCATACGTTTGGCCATGGCGACGGCATCCTTCTCGGCCTTGCTTTGAGTTTTCTTTGCTTGGCGGGCTTCTTCTCGTTTCAGGTTGTCCATGTGTCCGTTGAGCTTTGAAGCACCTTTGCTCACGCTCTCCTTCAGCTGACTGCATGAAGCGATGACTTTCTTGAACTCAGTCTTGTGGTTTTCAATCGAATCTGCATCCTGAAGCTGCAGGATCTGCTGAACTTTCTTCGCCAGCTCAAGGTCTGAACACAGACTGGACATATCCTGCACTGGCAAGAAAGCTTGCCCTGCCGACTCTGCTTCAACCCTCAGCAACAAGGACACCTTCTCCGCCATCTCAGCTGGCAGCGGCGGATTGTCTGGCGAAGTAGCGGCGGAACCTGATGCCAGCGGAGATCAATTTACAGCTTCTGGTTAGGGTTCGGGCAGAGTTTGAAGGGGATTTGTTTGTGGAAATATGTAAGGTCCTGGGGCAAGTGACCATCCTAGCATGGGTCTTCAACTTATTTCTTGGAGGCGGCTGACTGAGCCTGAGCATGGCTCTACACTAGATCAGGCGGCAATATCTCAAAACATTTTGAAACTCTCTAGAGTCTGAAATGATGGTTGGGCATTTTGCTGACATGGGGGCTGCTACACCGCATGGTGACTCTTTTGGCCTCATGAAGTCCCAAGCCTGATGCCTACCACATCACAACAAACCTTCGATTCAACCCTTTCAAGAAAAAGCACAGAAGACCCCTTCATGTCAAATGTAGAAAGTAGAATGGACTGTGGGCTAAGGAACGTTTAGCTGCTGCTGAGTTGTCATTCAGCTTCAGCCAGTTGTTCAGGTCGTCCTCTGACTCCACTGCCCAAAGCTGCGCACAAGCCAGTCGATTCTCGCATGTCTTCAAGAACAGCTTGCCGCTCTCATTCAAGGGATTGAGTTTCGAGAGCTCATGAGCTCTCCTGCATGCCTCCTTGGCTGCGGCTATGGCTGCAACCAGAAGCTCACGCGCCTTCTGAACTTTGCTGCTGTCCTTCTCATGGTTGGTGGCAACTGCGTTGGCAATGTCTACCGTCTTCCTCTTCTTCTTGTTCTTGGTCTTGTCATCCGGCGCCAGTTCCTCCTCCTCCTCTTGAGCAGGCCCAGCGCCTGGCGCATTTGAAGAGGAGGAGCGATCCTTGCTATCCTTGGACCCACAGAGGAAAGGGTCTGCAAATGACGCAGCAGCATTGTGGCAAAACTGCCTCAAGTTCTTTGCGTCCTCAGGCTTGGGATCTTTGATGGCTTTGCTTGCTTCCTGGTAGGCGTTGGATATCTTCTTTGTCTCATCCCTGAACTTCTGCTTGCGCAAGGGCAACCAAAGCGAATCCCCTTCATGTTCAACGCCAGGATCTTGTTCATATTCCTGCCACTTCTTCAAGATTGCCTTGAGGTCCCAGCCAGACTTCGTCTTGTCGTCGCTGAAATCTGAGAAGCTGTACAGCTCCACCGCCTCCCTTCCAGTGATGGCTGTCTCGACACTATAGGTTTTGAACCATTGGCCAAAGTCTATCAGTTTCTTTCGAAACCTTCCAGGAGGGTTTTCCTTCTGAAAGTCTTGCACAGCTTTTGTACACTGAACTTGCTCGGACAAAACCTTCTCCACCTCTGCCTTTCGGTTCTGCCGCTCTGCTTGATAGAGGATAGCATCCGTTACCTTCTTGTGCTCCTTGCAATATTTGCTTTTACCATTCTTCCGCTCATCGCACACAAGGATGTAGCACAGGCTTGGATGCCGTTCATCAGGCATCTTGGGCGATTTAGCTTGCTTGGGCTTCTTGCTACTATCGGTAGCGGCAGGCGCTGTAGACTTGCGTTTGCCCTGGCGATCAGAGCCAGACTGTGATCCCTCTGAATCACTGCCCGCCTTTCCCGCATTTGCAGGACTTGGAAGTTCATCGTCAAAGTCCATGACAGCTGCCACTCAGCAATGCTGGGAACAGCACAGGGGAAGCGGTGTTGACTTACAGAGCGTCCGCACAAGATGCTTGTGACTTACTGAACAGGATTCCTTTCTGCAAAGGCTAGCGATGTGTACCTTGATGGTGATTGTGATGATGATTATGGTGATGATTTTCATGATGATGCGATCCACAAATGCCACCTTCAACTTAAAACGTGTCTCCAATTGTCAAACTCACTGACTTCAATGCTGCTGATCCTACAAACATGCCCTACAATCTGGAGGCTTGAGCTTTGCAAAACACTCTTGAAGGGCGATAAGCGTTGAAGTGCCAACTTCTCTCCAAGCATCTGACCTGCTTTGGACTGCGATACACTAGAAAGATTAACAGCAAACTTCTACCACATCAGCATCTGTGTTGCACATACTGCTCAACAACGACTGCAAGAAACATCTTTTGCATCCACATTGAACACAAGACTTCGTCGGCAAGAAATGCACAATGCATCAGGTAGTCGAACTTGCAACTGCAAAGCGTGGAGAATTCCACGCCTCTTCTTGCGCTTGCAATCTACAAAACTTGCTTGAAAACCTCTGCGTAAAAACCTTTGAGCAGCATGTTCACAAGGCTTGTCAGGGTCTGCATCACTGCCCTGCACTGCATATCAGGTGCCAGATCTGGCTCTCTTTGAAACAAGCCCAGGCGGAGCTTGCTTTTGAAACTCCTGAAGCATTTTCGTAAACTGAACTTGGTCACGCAAGAGCTTCTCCACTGCTGAGCGCTTGTCTGCTGAGTCTGCTTGCCCAAGCAAAGCATCTAACATCCGTTTGTGCTCCAAACAAAATTTGCTTTTGCCGTTCTTTCTTTTGTCACACGCAATGCTGTAGCACAGACTTGGACGGCGATCATGAAGCATGTTGGCAAGCTTGGCATCTTCGCTTGCTGCAGGAGTGGATCCATTTTGCGGGCTCGTGTGCGTTGAGCCTGCTGCACCTGTGCCACTCGGGGCCTCTGAGTCACTGCTCCCTGGCCGTAGCGCAAAGGCATTATGCTCATCATCAGAACTCATGACACAGACGTGGTTACCCCCCAGTGCGAGTGGCTGCCGGACACAGGAAGCGGTGTTGACTTACCAGCGCACGCACAACAAGATTTCTGACTTGAAAGGATTCCTGTACACAATGGAGTGGCATCAATGATAAGAACATCTGCTGCTTTCAAAACTTCACAACCACTGCTTCTGACACAAGTCCTGTAATCAAGAGCCCTGAGCCAGCTGCAAAAAGTAGGGCGCATGACAAGCAGAAAATGTCAAGTGTCCCTCAACATGTGTGAGCTGCCGTGGACTGTCAAAGGCTTGCAAAAGCAGCTGCCAAAATATAGCCATGATTCCCTACCTTGTTCTCGCGGTTCCACCAAACTCTCACCTCATGCGGAAAACTTGAGTTTTGTGTGAACAAACTTCGTGTCATACCTAGCCAAGGTTACTTGACATTGACATTTGCTGAAGTTCATCTAGTCCAAAATTCGTCTACTCCAAAGCTTCACCTCATCAGCTACAACTACAACCCACACCCCGCCCACATCAGCACATGTGTTGCACATACTGGCCACTAATGACTGGCGAAGGCAGGAAACACTGACCCAGCAAACATCTTTTGCATCCTGGCTGAACAAAGATTTCGGATTCCGCAAAATGCAAACTTCATCAGGCGGCATGAGTTGCGACTGCAAATTGGCAAGTGGCCTGCAAGACTGGGCTGCAAGCATCTGCACACAAACATTCACGCAGGCTAGTCAAAAGACCCATCTGGATCTTCATCGACGTCCTCGATTGCATCCCAGGTACCCAACCTGCAAATGGTCATCGTTTTGGACTTTGGCACGATATTGCTCAAGATATATGTCATCCAAGCGGCAAGCACAGCAACATGCACCCCACGACCACTCAGTTGCTTCATCTGGTGACCCTTTAGCTTTAACAAAATTGGGGCTAGGGGGCTCTGGGCATTGTCTTCACAGGCTGTGGGCAAGACATGAAGCCCTTGCGCACCAAAGTGTTCAGCGGGGGTTGCAATCCGGAGTCTGCCACGCCTAGGCGCTGACACAACACAACCGTGGGTAAGCAAGCATGGCCAAAGTGGGCCCCCCATGTTCCGGGCCTCCAGATGATGCTCAACATCAAACAAGTAACTCCCATTGGGACCTTCCATGCGCTCACGGGCTGCCAGATACTTCTGCGCCCTTTGCTGTTGACCAGGTGACAACGTTGAAGCCAACAACTCCTGATTTGACAACTCCTCCCAAGCCTTTTGGCTGGCCTTGAAGTTTCTTTGCTGCTTGGCCATTTCCTTGTAGTGGCATGCTCGTTGCTCAGGTGTAGCCAGGAACAGAACATCGCCAGACAGGGCGCACGGTGTTTGAAACTTGTCGGCAAAGTCATCTTTCCAGTTCTCTGACCAGCCCAAACGATTGTTTCCAGGTTGAGGCAGGCTGCGAACATGCGAGGGCGACTGACAGGAAACCCAAAGGCCTGGGGGTCCACCTTCAAGTGCAACACACGGTGAGTGCCAGCCATTGGTGCACTCAGTTTATCCTCTGCGGGGTACTTACTTGTGCATTCTACAAATGCTAGATCTTCAACATTCTGTTGAGCGCGGGCAATGCGCTCTGCGACCCACACAGAGTGAGGAAGCTCACTGTCATGGCTGTAACGTTTTTGCAGGCCCATGCTGGACCATCCGTCACAGGCCACACCTGCGAAGCACACACTCAAAGGTCGCTCCCCTTCTAGGTCACAGGCATTGTCACACTCATCTGACTCTCCTGGACCTACACTGACACTGGAAGCTGAACCTGAAGCGAGGCTGTCCTGACCCTCTTGTACCTGAGCCGCTGCAGAACCTTCAGGCAAAGAATGAGCAACCGCTTGAAACTTTCGCTTCTGTGACTTGAAAGCAGTTGATCTTTCCTGCAAGTGCTTCACCCTCGCTGACCACGCTGCCAGGGGGCAGACTGGGCACTGCTGTTTGTGACCAAGCATTCCTGCTTGCCATCCAGCGGGAAAACCCATGAGCGATTGGCTAGAAGCCACTCAAGGATTGTGCTGTATGCCTTCTTGGCTTCGTCTGCACTGCAATCCTCTCCTGGGGCTGCTGCTCGCAACCAAGACACAGCCTGCGGAGCACAGTGTTGCACGACATCAGCGAAAACACACATGCGCTTGTGCTCGTTGGGCTCTGAGTTTGCCAAAGACACCAAAACATGCTGAGGCAGCTGGCCAATATCACAAGCTCTTGCAAAAGTCATGGCATCTTCCTCTAGGACCCAGCCATGCTTCTGGCACAGGGCGCGCAACACGCACGTCAAAGCCTCTTTCTCTGTCCCATAGCCACTGTAGTCTGAGGTTACAACGACCTTGTTCAAGAAAACATTTCAATCTACACAGCTCTGCTGGGTCAAGGGCAGAACTAACACGCTGTGGCCATTGAAACAACTCTCTTGCACTGGAAGGCGACTTTGTTGCTGCTTGCAACGGATCTTGCACAGAACTCGCGGAAGCCATTGAAGGCTGACACCTGCCTACACGCAGAACTCACTACCTTTACAAAGACCTGACGATGTCGTGGGTTAGTATCCTCATCTGCACAATGTTGTTGCTGTTGTTGTTGGTGTAAGCCAGTCAAGCTAGAGGCCTACCATGAACAAAGTCCAACAAAATCGTGACTGAGTCTGTATTTGACTTGCACATCACATGCCCAAGCTTTGGAATTTTGTTTGGATCTGAATGTCGAAATGGAGCCTCATGGCTGATCAGTATGCGACTTGAAAAAAAGAGCCAGGCACATGACAGCACATGTTCAATTTGTTCAACATGCCCATAGTTGTAATGAAGAACACTTCTAAACAGCCAAAGACCTCTGGCACACAGGCGTTTTGGGAAGATTCAAATATATGGTTCTCAAATCGCTAGGATGAGCAGCAGAGCACTCAAGGCCCAAGGCTTGCCAACTTCCAGCGCAGCACCTAGCATACACCCACCAATCAAGCAACACCACCAAGTTAAAAGCACCAGTTTCTGCATTTACTGACTAGCACATGTCTTCTGCAGGTTGCTGAGTCTTGCTTGCTTGGAAAGGCAATCTTGGGGTACTTGGCGGTGCCTGTAAGCAGGAAGCAACCACGTGGGTCCATAACGCAGGCGCATAAGATAAAAAAAAAAAAAAAAAAA